CACGAGTTCAAAGTCAGCCTCTGCAACTTAGGCCCCGACTCCAAATAAGACATAAAAAGGGCTGGGGATGTGGCTCGGTGGTAAAGCACTCTGGGTTAAATCTCCAGTACTAAAAAATAAAAGAACTGCCAGGTATAGACTGGCTACCCAGAGCTCACCTGCAGGGGGCAGGTAAAAGGGTCCTTCTGATCCCCAGGCCTGGCTGGATTTGTCCAGTTGCACTGATGCTCACCCGCCCTCCACAGCTGCGCCCCGCCGGCTGGCAGTGCCGTCCTAGCAGAGGAGACTGTGACTTGCCCGAGTTCTGCCCAGGAGACAGCTCTCAGTGCCCCCCTGACATCAGCCTGGGGGACGGCGAGCCCTGTGCTGGTGGGGAGGCTGTATGTGTCCACGGGCGCTGTGCCTCCTATGCCCAGCAGTGCCAGTCACTCTGGGGACCTGGGGCCCAGCCCGCCGCGCCACTTTGCCTCCAAACAGCCAATACTCGGGGCAACGTTTATGGGAGCTGTGGCCGAAGCGCCAATGGCAGCTACATACCCTGCACCTCTCGGTAAGTGGGGAAACCCGGCCCCTCCTCTGGGTTTGTGGGCGCCTTCGCCCCACTCCCTGACCCGGCTTGCCTTTCTCCCACCCTCAGAGATGCCGTTTGTGGGCAGCTTCAGTGCCAGGGGGGCAGGACGCAGCCTCTCCTGGGCTTAGCCCAAGAGCTGCGCTGGGAGACGCTGGAGGCCAACGGGACACAACTGAACTGCAGCTGGGTACACCTGGACCTGGGCAACGACGTGGCCCAACCCCTCCTGACTCTGCCGGGCACAGCCTGTGGCCCTGGCCTGGTGAGCAGCCTGGGTGGGCAAGATCAGGTCGGAAGGGACAAGCAGTGTCTGGGATTCACTGTCCACCAGTGTAAAAGGCACCGACTGCACAGAAATCACATTCTTACTGTGGGTTGAGCAAGTCTTGTCTTTATACCGAGCCTCAGTTTCTCCATTTGTAAAAGAAGGTGTTGGCCTCAGCCTGGCTGGGCCCAGGCCTCATCAGGCTTTGTGAGAAATGTGATCTTTGCTCTTCTCCACCTCTGGGGCAGGTGTGTCTAGACCACCGATGCCAGCCTGTGGATCTCCTAGGAGCACAAGAGTGTCGAAGCAGATGCCATGGACATGGAGTAAGCTGGCTAAAGGGGAGAAGGGAGCCTCCACGGGGGGAGAATGAGGGCTCTGGAAACAGACATCTTTGCTGGGCACAGTGGCACACAGCTGTGGCCAGCAACTTGGGAGGCTGAGTCAGGAGAATCACAAGTTTGAGGATAGCCTCAGCAACTTAGTGAAACCCTGTCTCAAAATAAAAAATAAAAGGACTGGCATGTAGCTAATGGTAGAGTAGCCCTGGGTTTGATCCCCAGGACCAACACACACACACACACACACACACACACACTCTCTGTCTCTCTCTCTCTCAAAAAAACGGGGGACAGGAATGATTTACTTGGGTTCCAATCTTTGCTCTGCCACTTCCTAGCTTTGTGACTGGGGCAGGTTATTGACCTCTCTGAACTCAATTTCCCATTCATCAAATAGGCATAATAAGCCAGGCGTGGTGGCACATGCCTATAATCGCAAAGGCTTGGGAGACTAAGACAGGAGGATCGCAAGTTCAAAGCCAACCTCAGCAACGGCGAGGTGCTAAGCAATTCAGTGAGACCCTGTCTCTAAATCAAATACGAAAAAGGGCTGGGGATGTGGCTCAGTAGTTGAGTGCCCCTGAGTTCTTTCCCCGGTACCAAATAAATAAATCAGTAGGCATAGTAATCACGCACAATTCCTGGGCACTGTTACCCGGCCTGATACATATGCAAGCCTCCAGCACAGTGCCTAGCATACTGAACATGCCCCACAGTGTTCATTTGACCCAATTTCCTCTGCCATGGATAAAGATTCCCTCTCCTGGGCGCGGCTCTCTCTTCCCATCATCCCCAGCACACCTTCCAGTTGGGAGTCTGAGATCTTGAAAAGCTGAAGGCAGGGAAGTGGTCCCAGAGCGCAGAGCCCGTCATCGCTCACCCTGTACTTCTAGGTCTGTGACAGCAACAGGCACTGCCACTGCGAGGAGGGCTGGGCAGCCCCGGACTGCACCACACAGCTCCGAGGTAGCTTGGGGGGGGGCAAGTGGGAGGGCAGAGTGGCTCGTCCCTTCCAGTGCCCTCCGCCTGGCCCCTCCGCCTTCTCTGACCTCTTCTCTCCACTCCCTGGCTCTGCTCCCTCCTGATAGGGCCCTCGGCCTCCTACATCTAAACCCCACCTCCCCCCACAGCAACCAGCTCCCTGACCACGGGGCTGCTCCTCAGCCTCCTGCTGTTGCTGCTCCTAGTGCTGCTTGGTGCCAGTTACTGGCACCGTGCCCGCCTGCGCCAGCGACTTTGCCAGCTCAAGGGATCCAGCTGCCAATACAGGTACAAGCCTCGCTTCCCTGCTAGCCACGTCCTTCAGCCGGGGAGATTTCTGAAGCCTGCCCTACCTGGGCACCTGCCCCTGCTTCTGAGCCCCAGTCCCTGAACTTGCTGATCACCACCTTCCCTACATGCACCCTATAACTCTTCACCTCACAGCTGTACCCCCTGTGGGACAGCTGGGGTGCTGGGACCATTTCTCCCAGGGCTCCAGGGCAGGGTAAGGGGTCCCTCCCTCAGGCTGACCAACTTCTCCCCCACACAAAGCTGCTCTCCAAAAGGGCTACAAAGGGTCAACCTCCCCCGGGGTGGCTGATGGGTGGCCAACAGGGTCTGAGATGGGGTCCTCTCCCCTCTGCCTTTCCTCATGCTCAGGGCAGCCCAATCCAGTCCCCCTGAACGGCCAGGACCCCCCCAGAGGGCCCAGGTGTTGCCGGGCACTAAGGTGAGTCCTGGATGCCCCAGGAAGAGGGGCCGGCCTTGCCTGGCGTCCAGCTTGGGCAAAGTGGCTGATGTCGGGAGACAGAGCTTCCAAGGGTCTAGACCCAGGGAAAGGCTAGCGTTGCCCAGAGTCAAGAGTCAGGCCGGCCTTCCCATCTGCCCTCACCTGGCTGCCAGCCGAGAGCAGCGTAAGCCTGGAGTGGGGAGCGCTGTCACCTAGAGGGGGCTCCGCTGAGCTCTCTCAGCTGGCCAAGCTGGTGGCTTTGAAAGGTGAATCTGTTGAAGCCCCTCACAGTGACCGCTGTAGGGCACAAGGGGGATGGTGCCCAGAAGGGCCTTCAGTGTGCCAGGAGCTGACAAGCCCCAGTCACCTGTGTAGAAGGGCTGGTGAGTGCCTCTGGTCTGAGCCCTCTGGCTCTGACGACAGGAATATGTGTGTGGAGGTGACCTGCATGCCCACTTCACCACTCGTCACCCCTCTGCATGCAGCTGAATAACTGCATGCCAGCTCCCATGCCCCTGGGGCCCTGGCTGCCCCCGCCTGGACACTAACCCTCTCTGCCCTCATCTGTCTTTCTGCCCCTCCTCCCCACTCTGTGCCTGTCACTCCTCTGGCCTCTCAGCAGGTTAGTGCTCTCGGCTTTCCGGCCCCCCCCTCCAGGCCGCTGCCGCCTGACCCTGTGCCCAAGAGACTCCAGGTAAATCTGGGCCGGGCCCCGCTCTGGCCCAGAACAGGTGGGAGGCTTGGTGCCCAACTGCAGTGCTCATCCCTGCTCCCTGCCAGTGGTGCTCTCCATTAGGTGACCAAGGTGTCACCACTCGGCCTTCCAAGGCTGAGCCCCAGAAGCCGCAAAGGGTGAGCCTCCTGCCTTGGTTTCTACCACCATCTGGTGGTGAGTGGCAGGACTGCAGTCAGTCAGGGATTCCCTGGCTGACTCACACCTTCCTCAGGCTGAAGCATGTATCTGCTGGCATGCACCCAAGCCCTCTGCATGCCCCGTTCTCCCCTGCCCCCGGCTGCCTGTGCATGTTTTTCTGAACTCCTCTGGGGAACTTGTGCATGCCCACTGCCCCTGGCTGTACTTAGCCACTGCCCCTCTCTCTGTCCAGGCTGAGCTGGCTGACCGACCCAATCCCCCCACCCGCCCTCTGCCCGCTGACCCAGTGGTGAGGCGCCCGAAGGTAACAGTGGGGGGAGAGAAGGGCACAGCCTCTTCCCCCACCTAGGGCTGTGGTGCTGGTTGCCGTGGCGGTGGTGGCCGTGGCGAGATGCCCCCCTCTGTGCCTGAGGGCACATGTCCCCGTGGCTCCTTTAATGGTGACAGGTTTGTTTGGAGACAAGGGTGATTTCTGGTGCTGCCCCCAAGCTGGTGTTCCCCAGCACCAGTGCGATGGGGGTGGGCAACACGACGCGCACCAAGCCAGCTCATGCCTTCCCTCTCTCAGTCTCAGGGGCCTACCAAGCCCCCACCCCCAAGGAAGCCACTGCCTGCTGACCCCCAGGGCAGGCGCCCTTCGGGTGACTTGCCTGGCCCAGGGGCTGGAATCATGCCTTCAGTGGTCCCCTCCAGGTAGGTGAGGAGGGGGTTGCTGACGATGGGTGGACAAGGAGAATGATCTGGGAAAGGGGGTGACCTTTTTTTCTCCCCAATTCCAGGCCAGCACCACCGCCTCCAGCAGCATCCTCGCTCTACCTCTGACCTCTCCTGAGGTCGCGCTGCCTCCAATTCGGATTTAGGACTTAAAGAAGCGGAACCCTGTTGGAGTCCCCCACAATGACTGAAGAAGCCGGAGCGTGGACACTGTAATGCCCAGTCTTAGGGAAGCAAGACCGTCAGGCGCTGTGAAGCAGCACTCTGATGACTCGCCGGTATAGCTGCAGCCGGGGGCTAGTGGGGGACTGGGGCTGGATGGGGCTGAGGGAGGTGCACCCAGCCTGTCTCTGTTCTGCTGCAATAAAGAGAGATCTTGATCGCGTGTCTCAGGGTGCCTTCTCGGAAGCCGGTCGCCCCTCCTGCGTTTCCAGGTCTGGCCGCCAGGAGACGCTGCCTCCTCAGACCAGGGCTTGCTGGGCCGGGCGGGAGTCCCAGCCTTGGTCTACCAGCCGGTGTCCCGCGGATGCTCCCGACTTGTTTCTGCCCAGTCTGGGGTGACTCTCAGCGTGATCCTGTACCACAGGGAGTTGTTTGCCCGTTGCCACCCCTAATCTCCCAGTCCTCGCATCCTATGCTGCCCGGTCCCCGGAGACGCTGTCGATCTACAACCCAGCCAAGCTGTGGGACCACGTCCCCACCCTCCACCAGTGGCTGGGAAAAGTGACTCTAACTGGTATTCTCAGCGCCCGGAGCCGGGGCGGAGCGGGCGGCGGCTCCCACGATCCCAAGGCCGCGCACCTGCCTCCCGCCCCTCCCCCGCCCCCACCTGAGGGCTCGGGAACAAAGGTGCTTTGTACAGGCCGCAACCACTTCATCACTTCGTCCTCGGGATGGGGCCGCGTGGGCCCCCTGCCCAGAACGAGGGTGTGGGACGGAAAGGGACAAGCGCCAACCCCAAAGTGGGCATCTAGCACACCCCCTAAGGTTCTGTGGGGACAGGTGTGTCCCAGAGAAGGCTCTTTGTCCCTTCTCGTGTCAGTGGTCCTAGATGTGCTGAGAAAAGGGGGTGGCTGAACATGAAGGTGGCTGGACAGACTTGGTGGATCCCTGCTCGTGCCTCACTTTCCCCAACTGGGTGAAGGATGTATGCTCGCTCGTTTAAAATCTCCCAAACTTCCTTCCTTCCTTCCTTCCTTCCTTCCTTCCTTCCTTCCTTCTCTCTTTAGACCGGGTCTTGCTAAACTGCCTAGGCTGCCTCAAATCCCAGGGCTCCAGCGAGCCTCCTCTGCAGGAGCTAGGACTACAGGTGCCGGCCACCGCGCCCAGTCTCCCAAGTTTCTAATAAGGCTTTCTAACTCATACTAACGAGACAAGAAAGACAAGACTTCCCCTTAAACATTCTTAGTGGAGTTTTTAAGTGCCACCTCCTTCTCGCCCGGTGGCAGTGCGGCGCGGCCTCAGTAGAACCTTTGGCTAACCTGGCGCGCGACACGGTGCACAAAGGGTTAACCAAAGTTGGCTCCGAGCGCAGAGGCGGAGACAGGTTTTCATTGGTGGAAAGTTACCCGGGGGCGTGGCCCGGGAGTCTCCGCACCACCCCCCCTTTCCACAACCCCCCCTCTCCACTTTGTACCTTTCTCGCTCAGACTGCGAAGCGGGCCGGGACCCGCCGGACCCGACCAGACCGGACCCTGGGGGCGATGCGGCTGCTGCCCCTGCTGCGGACTGTCCTCTGGGCCGCGCTCCTCGGCTCCCCTCTGCGGGGGGCCTCCAGCCTCCGCCACCCCATCTACTGGAACTCCAGTAACCCCAGGTAGCCGGGCCGAACCAGGCGAAAGCCGAGTCGGGCCCGCGCGCTCCCGGGCCAGGCGCGCGCCCGCCACTCGCTCTTTGCGCGGCGCCGCCTAAGCCCGGCGGCGCGCCGGGGCTCCTTTGTTTGAGCCGGCGGGGGAGGGGGTGGGGGGAGGGGCAAGGCGCGCCCTGGGTCTCCCCCCTCCCGCGCGTGTTGGGGGGCGGGCGCAGGACCCCAACCCTGGCCGAGGTCAGTGGAGCCTGGGAGCGTGGAGCTGGGGGTCCTCGGCCTGTATTCCGGGCCCCGCCCCCCTCGCTTCTTTCGTGATCCCCAGCCTCTGGCCTGCCTGAGCTGCGGTGGACCGAGAATGAGGGAGGGGGGCTTTACTCTTATGCAAGAGCATGGGTTACTCTCAGGCTCTCTGGGCCTCCCCTCTGGCTTTCTCTGGCTCCTGATCTCATTCAGTATCTCTCCTTCCATCTGGATCATTTATCTGTCCTGTTTCTGTCCTGTCTCGACCCTGCCCTACTAGCTTAATCACCTTTGGGCAGGTTGTTTGACCTCCCTAACCTCAGTTATGTCACCTGCAAAATGGGCTAATAATACCTAGTACCCTGGGAAGTCAGGCTGGCTAACTGAGGTCATGCATGTGAAAAATGGTTCAAGCTGTACAGATACAAGCGATTATTTCTTTCTCTCTCCTGAGCTGTCTTTCTTTGAACCTTGGTATTTTTTGCTGTTTCCATCCTCCCCAATTCTCCCTGCCTCTCTGCCTTCCCCATCTGTCTTCCTTTCTGATTTTCTACTTCAGACAATCTGTGACTGTTTATTTATTCACTAACATTTAATAAGCACATACTGTGTGCTGGACCTGTACTAGGTTGCTGGGGATTAGCTCAATGAAAAAAACGAAGACCCTGTGCTCTGGGAGTGCTCAGGTCCAAGAGAGGGCAGGGTTAAAATCACTACAATACTAGTAACAAGTGATAAAGGCTATTGTCCTCAGAATGAATTCCTCTATCTCTGTTCCAGAACAGTACCTGGGAACCACTTGAGGACCTGTTAAAATTTTATGTTCTAGCCCCCACCCCTGAGCTTTCAGGGCTCATTTGTGCAATCCTCAAATATTCACTGAGCCGCCCTTGTGCAAGGCACTTTGCCAGGCACTGGAGATGGGACAGAACAAAGCATGCAAAGACCTTGTCCTTGCTCAACTTACGTTCTAGTAGGTTGAGCTCAGGAATGTCCCCTATCACTGTCCTGGAGAGTGAATCCAGGGGTACTCTACCACTGAGTCACACTCCCAGCCCTTTTGTAAATTTTTGTTTTGAGACAGGGTCTTGCTAAACTGGCCCCACTTGTGATCCTCCTGCCTCAGCCTCCCGAGTCAATGGGATTACAAGCCTGGGTCACTGTTCCTGGCAGGAATCTTCCTTTCTAATTGGACCTCTTAACGCAGGTGGTCTTTGGACCACCCATTGAGCGACTCTTGGAGGCCTTTCATAAATCAAGTTTCTCTGTGTGTAGGGGTCGGGGGCGTGGTTGATTCAGTATTTGGTTCTGTTGGAGGGTGGCCTGTCCAGCCTTCCCACCTCTATTAGCTCCCTCAGGCAGCTCCTAAGAGGTGAGGAAGGGGGTCTGGAGAAGGCTGAAAATGGGGTGGTTTGTCTAGGGGGCTTCTCTACATGCCTGGTACTTCCTTGTCCTGGTCAAAAAAAGAAAATTGAGGCACCTCATACCTTCTCCTCGCTCTTCTTATCACGACATTCCTTTTACCATTGGGCTGGGGTCTAAAGGGACTAAGGGTCCTCATGTTGCCCACCTTCAGCCCTGTCTGTACCTGCGCTGTGTGCCCGTACCTGCTGCCCCAGCACCCCACGCCCACCTCAGCATCTTCATAGACTCCGTCCACCTAACACTTACCAAGCAAGACATGGTGCCAGGCTGCAGGAAGGGCATCAGGGCTAGAGAGGGGGGTGGCAGCTCCACCCTGAAAGGTGGGGCTAGTGGCTGGCTCCCCCCCACATAAAGAAGCCATGTGCTGTGGGCGCTGAGATCTCTTAACCTCTCTGAACTGTGGATGGATGAGCCCAGCTGTCCCTTGCACTCTTTGGCAAGATTTACCACTCTGGGGCACTCAGGCCTCCCATGCTCCTCCATCTCCAGTGGGTGGGAGAGAGGCTGGAAGGGACCTTTGAGGAGGTACACCCTGACCTTCACACCCCAAGTTGTGCTGAGCCATCACCCTCAGCCCATGCCACCCTGTGCCCACAGGCTGCTTCGAGGAGACGCTGTGGTGGAGCTGGGTCTCAACGATTACCTAGACATCTTCTGCCCACACTATGAAAGCCCAGGGCCCCCGGAGGGCCCCGAGACCTTTGCTTTGTACATGGTGGACTGGCCTGGCTATAAGGCCTGCCGCGCAGAGGGGACGAACGCCTTCCAGCGCTGGAAGTGCTCACTGCCCTTTGCTCCCTTTGGCCCTGTTCGGTTCTCAGAGAAGATTCAGCGCTTCACACCCTTCTCCTTGGGCTTCGAGTTCCAGCCTGGAGAGACTTACTACTACATCTGTGAGTGACCAGGGGCACGCCGCGCACCCATTGGGAAAGCTGGGGAAAGGCCTAGGACTCCCTGCCTTTGCTGCTGCCCAGGACTGAGTAGGGGGATAGAGTGCATCTGTAGCAAAGAGGAGAGATTTAGAGGAGCCAGGAAAGAAGGGGGTGCTAGGGAAACGCAAAATGGCATGGGTGGGGCTGCCACCTGAGTTTGCACCAATGTCAGTGAAAGGTTTCCTGGGACAGGAGAGAGGGAGGCAGGAGGGTCGACAGCAGCCTAGGGCATGGGAAGGGCGATTCCCCGTGCTAACTCCTTTCCTCCAATTTCCCCCCAGCCGTGCCAACTCCCGAAAGTCCTGGCCAGTGCTTGAGGCTCCAGGTGTCTGTGTGCTGCAAGGAGGGCAGTAAGTGGGCGCGGGGGTGGGGAGCAACCTTCGGGCGAGGAGGGTGGAGGGGGGAGAATCTAGGAGCATCAGGCTCTCAGGGATCCAGGTCCAGCTTCAAATTGTGACTTTTCCCCCCATGTTTAGCCCTGTGGGAGCTTCTGCTGCACCCCTTTTTTTAAGACTTTTTTTTTAGTCGTACGTAGATGGGCACACAATACCTTTATTTTATTTATTTATGTGGTGCTGAGGATCGAGGGCCTCATGCATGTGGGACAGTGCTCTACCACTGAGCCACAGCCCAGCCCTGCTGTACCCCTCTCTAAGCTGGGCTGTGGGAATGGGGTCTCCTGGGCAAGGCCGTAGCTGGACCGGTTGTCTTTAGTGGAGGAGACTTGGAAGGTGGAGAGACTACTGGTTGTCTTATTTGGGGGACACTTGGATGTTGGGATTAGGAAGGATGAGGTGGTGAGTGGCTCACTGGGGTGCAGCGACTGGTTTGGAAGACTCTAGTGAACAGGTAATGGGAAGGTCAGAAGAGAGGCGGCTGAACAAGTGGGCCGACGCATCAGTGCCACCCCCCTCCTTACAGAGTCGGAGTCAGCCCATCCCGTTGGCAGCCCTGGAGAGAGTGGCACATCAGGGTGGCGAGGGGGACATGCTCCCAGCCCCCTCTGTCTCTTGCTGCTGTTGCTGCTCCCCATCCTCCGTCTCCTTCGAGTTCTGTGAGCCCCGTGGAGCCAGAGCCCTCCCAAGGCCCACGGGGGCGGGTCCCTGCCACCTGCACTGGGGATGCCAAGCCAGACAGACACAATGGAGCATTGATGGAGAAAGTCAGAGGGTCTGAGGTGACCCCTGTGGCATGGGTGGGACTGCCACCTGAGTCTGCCCACTCGTCACAGCTGGAGAAGAGCTGCAAAGGAGCTGCAGACAGCCCTGGGCACCCCAGAGGAGAGCCGGGACAAACAGGCCTCATCAGCTGCCTTGAGGATTCTCTCCCTCCATGAGAAGATTGGGATTTAGTGGGATGGAACCCTTGAGCCACGAGGGCCAAGGCAGAAGACCTGGGGACAGGTGGACTGCCGGCCCAGGGCAAAGGAAGAGCCCTGCTCTCTGTGCCCTTTAGGCTTCTTCCCTGGGGCAGCACCTTGCCGTCCCCAGGGGGTCACTCACTTGTCTTCCGTGAAGACGGACTTGTCATGAGGTTGAATTTCATGCCAGTTTGTATTTTTTATAAAGTGTCTGGACCAAGCCTTCAATAAAGCACCCATCTTTCTGTTGCCCTCCCTAACCTGCTGCCCTCTGGCTCCTTCCCTGACCCCAAGACTCCTGCAGCATGTACTCTCAGCCTGGCTTGGCCTGACCTCCATGCCAGCTGTGCCCAGGCCATCTATGCCAGGCCTCAGTGGGCACCCCTCTGGGCAGTGTGGGTGAGTGCCAGCAGCAGCTGTGGAGCTTGGCACCCTCTTCTACCTCCCTAGCCGCTTCCTGGACTGAGGGGGCAGTGCTTCTGAAAGCCCACCCGCTTGGGGCACTACCCAAGCACTGGCAGCACCTAACAGGGTGCTGGGGCAAAAGCAAGGGGCAGTGAAAAGACAGCCCCCGGGTTTCAGGAGGCCTGGGTCCCTGCGAGCTGGGTGTCCCTCCCCCTCCCCAAGGGCACTCTGGGCGGTGCCTGGCCTAGAACTGGAAGGTGGGGTCAGATCAAAGCCTCCTTCCCCGGCGGCCTCTTTGTTCTTGGCTTTTATAAGGAGGAGGGGGTGGGGCTGAGGAGGGAGGGCCCCCTTTGCTCTCAGCCAACACGGTCTCTTCCCACCTCTGGCGGGCGAGGCTACGAACCCCGGAGCCCAGCCAGGCCCCTCTTTCTGAACGGTGCCCTGGGTGGAGGCAGGGGAAGGGGTGCCTTTCCCCTGCAGCTGTGCCGTACCCGCCCAGTGCCCCGCAGCCTCCTCTGGCGAGGTGCCGGCCCGCCTGGCACCCAGCCCGCGATCGATAGGTGGATGTTGTGCTGATTAGCTCGGCCGGGCTGCGGCAGCGAGAGGCGGCGTGTGAACACGGGGAGGAGGGAGCGGGAGGGCGCCGGGTCCGGACGCCGAGAGGCTGAGATTGCCCACCTCTCCCCCGCCCTCTGGCGCACCTGGGTCACACCTCGGTCCCCCTCTCCAAAGGGGCAGGGCCCTCTCCCCACCGCCTAGAGCCCGACTTTGCCAGTCCCCGTCACGTTCATTCCAGGGCTCTGGCTCAGGCCGGGGTGGGGGGCAGCACCGCCGACGGAGGCGACCCCTCCCCGCCTTCGAGGCCACTTTCAGAAAATGCTGCGTCTGTAGGTGCGTGTCCCTGCGTGGTTCTGTTATGGCCCTCACCCCAAACCTTGATCCCTAGCGGGGGCTGAGGCGCAGAGGAGAGGATGCAGCTGAGCTGAAGGAGCTATGGCCGGATCTTCTGGTTCTGGGTTCGAGTTCCTCTCTACCGTCAATCGCGAAGGTGTCAGTATGTTGCCATGGAAACCGACTATACTGATCCCCCCCCCGCCCCTCACCAGAGAAACCAGCCCGTGCAGGCCAGGGAGGACCGGGCAGCAGCGCACACCCTGGTTCAAGACGGCGGGGGTCTCGGCCCGCTCCCTGCGGCCCCAGACACCCCGTCTTCGCGGATGGAGGCACGCGCGCTCCCGAGTCCCGCTGGCGCGCGGATCCGCCACTGATAAGAACGCATGTGCGAAAGACTCGGGGCCCAGTCGCCTTCGCCTGCACCCAGACACACGCCCTCCGTCAGTCGGACGCGCACACTTGACACGGGCACCCGCCCTCCCCGGCCGCCCGCTCTCTGCAGGTGCGAGGGCGGGTCCTAGGCGACCGCAGGAGCCGGGCTGGGGGCTCTCAAACCCAGCCTCCTGCCGCGTGCGCTCGGGCCACGCCGGCCTCCTTCCATTCGCTCTCCTCTGAGTCCCGACCCTGCGTGGACGGCTGTCTCGGGCCGGCGCCCTCGCTCATGGGGCTCATGGCTCATGGGGCCGAGACTGGCTGAAGGCGCTGGGCACCGCGCCCTACCCACCAGAAATCCTCGAGGCATGTTCCAGGGCGCGGTTCCAGGAGTCTAGGCAGGCCTGCAAGTTTTGGGGCGTCACCGATCTCCCCTAAACTCAACGGCGTTAGACAGCTGAGGGTGGGGCCTTCAAATTGCTGGGCCTGCCCGAGTCTCTCGGAACAAGACTCCAAGACTCCACTCAGCCTCACCTCGCCCTGTCTCCCTGGCCTGAGGCCTGCGAGCTCGGGTCGCTGCGACCTGGATCCTGCGCCACACTTTCCGGGGTCACAAATCGCCCCTTCCCTCTCAAGAGCAACCCTCTCCTTCTGTAACCCCTCCTGTTTTATTCCTTCTTTGCTCATTAGTGCACTCAGCACATTGTAAGTTCGTGGCCCGCCCATCTTTCAGCCTGGCTAGCTGGGGTCGTCGGGGGATCCCCAGCTGTGACGCAGTGGCAAAGGATGCACTTGGTATTCCAAATAGCCAATAGAATCCCGGGGCCTAGGGCATGAGGTCACCAGCCGTAGTGCCCATTGGTTCGGGCCTAGAAGCGAAGAGGGGGTCCCCATAGCAACCGACGGTGCGTCCGAGCGCATAACCTGGAGAGTGGTGGTTGCCCCAGCTGCTTCCTCAGCTTAGGTGGGTGGTTGGGTTGGGGCCAGGAAGCTGGGGTGGAGCGCAGCTTCCCAGGTCCAGCAGCCCAGCCCAACCAAGCCCTTATCTTTAGAGACCCTTTTTTTAGAAGTAATGGTCAGCGCCACTTAACCCAGAAAGGTTAGGAGAGGGTTACTGGAGGCAGCGTTGGGGTCCTGGGTGCAGAGCCGCTGCCACCACCGCTGCCACCAGGAATGTCAATTCAGAAATCCTTGTGTTCGTCTGCATATCGTCTGCATCTCATTTGCATTCTCTTCATTTAAGGTCAAATTGGGCAGACATCTCCACATCCCCAGCCCTGTCGGCTTGTCTCTTCCTGGAATCTATCCCTCGGTAGCTCTCTAATCTATTCCTCAGTTGTCTCACTCCATGCCCCACCCCTCCTCCCACTCTCCAATGTCTCCTAGAGGTGGGAGGGGGCAAAGCCTAGCTAAAGGAGAAAGGATAAGGAGCCTGCCTCCCCCTCTGGATGTTGGGTGACAGATGGGGAGTGTTGGTCTGTACTGCCTGGAGAGGAAATTGGCAAAGCAAGTGGTGGGGGGAGGTGCCCCAGCTGGGTTGAGGGTCTCCAGGGCCAAATCACCAACAGGCCTGCTGGGGTGCTGAAGCCAGGGATGCCTGGTTTCAGCAAGGGGCAGGCCTGCCCACCTGTCTGGTGCCAGAGCAGCTTCCTTCCTCCAATTAAACACTAATGAGGTGTTATTAACCCTTACCTTGCCTACCAGCCCTCAGGTGGGACTCCGATTCATAGATTCATAATTTCACACTGAGGGAAGAAGGGGGGAAAGAGGACCTTTGGAAAAGCTGAGAAACAGTGAGGTCAGGCACCTGGAGACAGGAAGGCAGGGCCAGAGGCATAGATCCCATCCGCTGGTTATCCTCTGGGGGCTTCTGGGGATTCGAGGAATGAGTGTCCGCTCTCCAAATTCATTTATTCTTTTGTTCATTGGCTCACAATTATTTAGTAAACACCTCACCTACTAACTAAATACTAGGTTGCATGTTAGATGTTAGAGATACACACTTGCATGAGACAAGATCCCTTCCCTTAAGTAATCATCAGAGACAAACTGGCCAATGAATACTGATAATGCCAAACACAAGTGCTAATAGAGAGCCACATACTATGAGGACACAGGGGAAATGGGCCATCAGAGAAGGCTTTGATTTTGAAGGATGAAATTATGGCAGGGAGATGTGTACAGCTAATAATATTTGTGAAATTGACACAGCATGGGGCCATGTGGACATGAGTTTTCAGGACTGTGGTGTCTACTTCCACAGAGCTGTATGCTTGGCATCTGCATGTCTGTTTCTGAGTGGGTATGTACCTTCCCTGCATCTCTCTGTGTCTGGAATCCCTTCTTCTGAACACATATTGTGGTTTTGTTACAGATCAATGTTTGCCGTGAAGCTCTTGTGTAGATTGGCCTGAACCTGCCCAGCCCAGGGGAGGGGAAGTGGAAAACTGATGTTGGCTTCTTGGGAAGGGGTGGGCAGAAATATGTTCACACCTGGGGACCCAGATCCTACCTCCCCAAGTGGCAGCAGGCTGGCCAAGCAAGAGGCAAAACACTGGGCCTCAGGCTGCAGTGTGGTGAGTCTGGGTCACAGACCCCTCTGCCCTCGACTCCCCAGAGGAGAGATGAGGGTTACAGATACCAATCCCCACCAAGATCCCAGGCCCCCTCCCCCGCTGGCTCCTGTCTGTGGAGGAGCAGGCCGGCTCAGACCTGTCTGCTGGCTCTCTCCTCCAGGCAGCCGATCCTTTCCAGGGGACACAGAGGGCTGGGGAATGCTAGGCCCTATTGGGAAGATTCCAGATACTCCACCCCAGCCCTCCAAGGCTGTCTCCAGCCTGGATTCTCCCCACCCACTCTGGGATGCCACCTTTCTGGGCTTTGCCCAGACATAGTCACCTTTGCCGGGGAAGCCCTTGACAGCGGGGAGCAGATGGGGGCCAGAGCTCCTCATTGAAGACCAGCTGGGGTGGGTCTGGTTTGGCTCAAAGACCTCACTCCATTTCCCTCTTTCTCCTTAATAGCCACTTTCTAAAAAGTGAAATTCTGGATCTAGGGAGAGTTTTAGGGGTAAGGAAGAGGCTCTGGGTTCTGAGAAGGTAAAGGGCCCCTTCTTCCACACTGTCAAGGAGAGGTCTTCATTTTTTTTTTTAATAGTAACTTCCTTTTCCCCTCAGTCCATATAATCTTTTTCTACTTCCCAAGCACGAAGTCCCCTCTCCTCCTGTGGTAGCTGTTAAGGAAGCTTGGAAAGGAGGGGGAACAAATGGAAGAGAGAGTCTGTGACAGGTCCAAGTAGGCAGAGCTAGGAGATAACTCTTTTTGGAAGAGGGTGCTGGGGATTGGACCCAGGAGCACTCTACCCCTGAGCCACATCCCCAGCCCTTTTCATTTTTTATTTTGAGACAGGGTCTTGCTAAATTGCTGAGGCTGGCCTTGAACTTGTGATCCTCCTGCTTCAGCCTCCCAATTTCCTGGGATTACAGGCATGCCACTACGCAAGGCAGGAGTTAACTTTGTGTGTGTGGTTTGGGGGATTGAACTCAAGGTCCTGCATGTGCGAGGCAGGTGCTCTACCACTGAGCTACATCTACAGGCTTAGGAGATAACCATTTTTTTTATTAGTTGTAGATGGACAGAATGCCTTTATTTATTTTATTTATTTTTATTTTTATTTTTACGTGGTGCTAAGGATCGAACCCAGCGCCTCATGCGTGCTAGGCAAGCGCTCTGCCCCTGAGCTACAGCCCCAGCCCCAGGAAACAATTCTTAATAAGAATGATGATGGTGTAGCTCAGAAGTAGAGCACTTGCCTGACATGCAGGAAGCCCTGGGTTCCGTCACCACATGAGGGAAAGAAAGAAGAAAAGGCTTCCGCTAATCAAGCCCCCTCTGGGCCCTAAACACTGTGCTCAGTGCTTGTCAGATATTGTAGATCTTAACGTAACAACCACTCCTCAAACAGATGAAATGCTGTTATCCCCAGTGAATGGATGAGAAAATAATCCCAGAGAAGTTAGTGATCAGCGGCTGGAGAGGGGTGGAATAGCATTCAAGCCCAAGCCCGTGTTTCTGTGAAGCATGCGGCCTCCCACCGAGCTTTTCTCAAAGTGGATGCAGAAGACTCACACACTCCTCTAATGTAGCACCCCAAAAGTGCCACCCCACTCAGGCTCAGGCCTTTTGGCTTGCTGAACTCCTTGGAGGAATCAGGGCATGACTAGAATCCAAGGTCATTGCTCCTTGACCCTACCAGTCAACCTTGCCTCCTAATTTCCTGTGTCTTGGACCATGGTGCACTGTGTCCTCTGTTGTCAGCCATGTGGGTGGTACCATGTCAACTCAAGGAGGGTAGCACACCACAGAGTCATGCTGACACACTCACGTGGAAATCAAGAGACACATGGATCACCCTCTCTGTTGGCACCCGGGTTAGGATGGCACCAACAGCCTGTGGTGCTGGGGCACACACATGGGCCCTGGGCAAGGTGCAGAACCTGTGAATATTTCATGCCTGGAGCTGGCAGCTGCTTCTGCTCACACGCGTGCCCGATCTTCCATCTCACAGGCTCCTTGTTTATTTGTTTAATGAATTATTTATCCGTACCCCCCCCCGCTTCCCTCCGACCTCCCCCTCCCCCAGGCCCTAGCCTCCATGATTTATTGAACACAGCTCAGCTCTGTGGTTGCCACCCGCTGTCCCGGAGCTGCCTTGGGCCACACAGCCTGAGATCTCCCTCTGCCCCAGACCTGCTCAGCCCCCTGCTTCCTTGTGCCCTGGGGATGGGGGAGAGTGAGGCACCCTGTCAGAGGGCTCCCAGGGGGCCTGGGCTCTGTGTTCCTGGAGACCTCATGGCAGCCAGTAGTGTTCTGGCAAGCTCCAGGGATGGAGGGAGATGAAGGCAGAGCCTGTAGGTAAGGAGAAAAGAGGCTAGAGGCCCTAGAGAGAGGACTAGTCCCACAGGGACAACCCCAGCCTTGCAGAGGCCCTCACTGCACAGAGATCAGCTGGATCTTCTGCACCAGGGTTTTATACCATAGGCTGCAACCCACTGGGGGAGATGCAGTCAAGAAATTAATTTTATGATTCTCTACCAGCTTTTCACTTTATTATTATTTTAATTTTAAGAATACAGCAGAAACCAGATGCAGTAGCACACACCTGTAATCCCAGCAATTCAGGAGGCTGAGGCAGGAGGATCACAAATTCAAAGCCAGCCTCAGCAACTTAGAAAGACTGTGTCTCCAAATAAAAAATAAAAAGGACTGGGGATGTGGGTCAGTGGTTAAGTACCACTGGGTTCAATCCCTGCTACCAAAAAAAAAAAAAAAAGAATAGAGCAGAAGAAAAATATAAAAGAGCATCCTCTATACTAAGGTTAAGTATTATTTCATAAAACTCACTGTGTGTGCACACACAAACAAGGGCACACTGGATTGCAAGTCAAATATGCATCCTACTGTGAATCACAGGAGTGATTCAAATCACAGACATAAATCAAGGCCTAGACCCCACTGATAGGGGACTGGATCCTTCCATGATCCAAATGCCAGAGAGAGGCCTGGACCTTCAGATCAGGTCCCAGGCATGGACAGTGGCCAAAATCTTATAATAGGGACCTGTTCCCCAGAAAAGCCCAGTCCCCATCAGTAGAGGCCTATAGACAGGCCAAGGCATTACAGGTGGAGGTGCACATTCTATAGACAGGACTTCCACACCCACAGTTGTACAGTTTGTAGACAGCACAAAGGAGCCACACAAGGGACAAGAGGAGGCTAACAGCACCCCAGCTCCCTCACTAAGTCAGGGAGACACAGAGGGCCACCTCCCACTGAAGGAAGCAACACCTTTGTTTTTGCACAAAGGGACCACTTGCCAAGAGATGCGCCCTCAGGACTGAGTCTGCATAGAGGGGTGCTTCTTCTAATCCACATAAAAGGCCCCAATCAGTCAGCAGCCCCCAGGAACAGAGACCTAGGTAGACAGAGCATCAGGTCCCATGGACACAGGCATAGGCCCACAGAGAATACCTCCACTCAAAACCCAGGCTTAAACCCCATAAAGAAAGTTGCTTAAATCCTAAGGAGAGGGTTCCAGATTCAAGGGGAAGGGCTCAGTTATTATTGGAGGGAGGATGTGGGTGTGCTAGATTCTAAAGAGGAGTATCTGGGCCTTACAGAAAAGGGCCCAAATCTTTAAGCAGGACCCAAATGCTATAAGCAGGGATTTAAGGTTTCAAATTGGAATCGAAAGTCCTGGACCAAAGCAGCAAGCTCCCACTCACTGTGAATACAGACAGCCTCTCTGCCAACTGTGGGCCCAACAGAAAGAAGCCTACCTTTGTGGATCAGGGGACAGGGATAGGGACTGGGATTTGTGGCCCCTGGAGTAGGCAGGTTAGCATCATTTGGGTGAAACAAGTCTCCCGGGGAAGAGGAGTCTGGGGGCAGGAGAGCTGTTTGCAGAGTCCCCCACTCCCATCCCAAGGGGCCTAATTTATTTTCTGGCTCATAAAAAGAGAGATCTCCTGGGGGGGGGGGGGGAAGCCTGGAGAGGATAGAGGCTGTTCTTGCCTGGTAGCCCTCATAGAGCCTCTTCTGAATGGCATTTCCCCTCCCCCAAACCCCGCACCTGAGACTATCTTGTGGTCAGGACCCTGTCCTGTCAAGGATAAGCAGATGGGAGGTGCCCCTGCATCCTCTCTCCTAAAGCACAGTAACAAAATAGCGTCATGCCTGCCTCCCTGGCCACAGGTGGTTGGAGTGGGTCTTGGGAACCCAGTCAAACCTGGTTCTGCCCAGTCACTCTTAGTCTTAGCCTCTCCAAAGAGAAGTGATAAGGGATAGACAATTGAGATCTGTATTCAGGATCCTTCCCCTGAATTCCTACTTCCTGGGTAAAGAAGTATGTCTGTTTCAGAGAGGGCATGTGGGTTTGCGTGGGTGTCCTTTCTGTGCATGTATGAGTTTGGGTGTGTGCTTTTAGTCTCTGTGTCTACAGGCCTGTGTTTCTTCAGAACTCTAGTGGATAGTAACTTTACCTATGTGTGTCTGTGCATCGGGTGACTGTGTTTCTAAGTTCTCTGCCTCTGGGTGTCTGTGACATTTTCCTGAATGTGTGTGTCTATGAGATGTGTGTGCTTGGGTGTCCCTGTGAGGACAATGGCTGAGGTGAGAGCTGAAACAGAAGGTAATCTACTTTCTGCCCTCGGAGCCAGCACCTCTGGGAGTAGGAGTGGGAATGCCTGAGGACACAGATGGCCCACCTGGAAGGAGCCTGCCTGAGAGCAAATGAGGATCTCTTTGTAAACGTTCAGGAAACCCTGCTCAGCTTCAGCTGGGCCTTGGGCCTGGACTGCCAAAGACCCTGCTTATACCCACTACTGACATTCTTGGGGGCTGAGATCCACTCCTCCTCCAATAAAAACAAGCCTCAGGCTCAGCTGGGGGCTCCAGGTCCAGCTGTCAGGTCCTTGGTCCTCACCTGAGGGCTGTACTACTCTTCTGTGTCCACCTGACTCATGCACAAAGGAAAAGTGGCATGGAGGGAGCAAAGGGGCCAATTCTTCAGACAGGAAGGAGGTCTAGTCCTAATTATTCTTCTCAAGACTCCTTCACTCTATCCTAGAAATGAGTGGGCCCACAATCCCAAATCCTTGTCGTGGATTCCAGCCTGGAGGGAGCAAAGCACCCGGGACCAGCCGCAGCACACAACCTAGGTGTGCGCTGGTCTTTTCGAAGGAGCAGCACGCCCCCGCTTCCCACGCGCCGCACGCTCCCGGCTCCAGCGGGGAGGGGCCTGGCGGGAGCGCGCCGGGGGCCGGGCTTCGGGGCGCGCCCAGGAGGGCGGAGGGTAGCGCTGTGGGCGTGGCCTAAAGCTGGGGGCCGGCGGCGGCGGCAGCGGGGAGCTGGGAAGCTGAGAAGCCGGGAGCACGGGGCTCAGTCGGGGGGCGGCGGCGGCGGCGGCTCCGGGGATGGCGGCGGCTCCGCTGCTGCTGCTGCTGCTGCTCGTGCCCGTGCCGCTGCTGCCGCTGCTGGCCCAGGGGCCCGGGGGGGCGCTGGGGAACCGGCATGCGGTGTACTGGAACAGCTCCAACCAGCAGTGAGTCGGGGGCCCGGGAAATCCCGCCTCAGCCAGAGGGGAGTTGGGGGGCCCAGGAAGTCCTGGGGGAGCAACGGGTGGGAGTCCTGGGAGAACAGAGCTGGGGGCTGGGAAGCGAGGGAGAGGGGGATGCACTCCGTGGGCGTCTGTGAAACTCGGGGGGCCGTCTGCGAGGCTGCTGGTGTGTAGTAAGGCGCGCTCAGGCCGTGCGGAGGAGTCTGCGGGCCCCCACCCCACACTGGCCTCTCCCCACCCGCCTCGGGAGCAGCGTGCCCCTGTCCCGTACCCCCGCATCTGCACTCTCATAGGTCGGACTGGCATCTGGGGCGCTGGGGTGCCGGGGATAGGCCGCCGCATTTAGGGGCCCAGGGATGACCTGTTTTCGGCCATGAGGGTTTCAAGGGGTGCTGCCTAGTACTCAAGCTTCTAAAAGTGGGGTACCGAGCTGAGGCGGGGAGTACGACCCAGCGCCTCCCCGAAACCAAGGGGAGTGGGCCGCCCTGCTGGTGCGAATAGACCCGCTAGGGTGTACCGGGGCTGGGTCGCCGAGTTGGAGACTGCTGCTTGGTTAGGACGGTACGTGGGGTACCCGGGAGAGAAGGGAGGAGATGTCGGCGTGTCACACACTCAACACACACTCCCGGGCCGGGATCGGCGTATGGCACCAAGTGTGAGCGGGCGTGCGCGGCTGTCAGTGTGCGTGTGTGTCTGAGTGTGATTTGTGTGTCTGCGTCGGCGATCGTCTGGGGGTGGGAGCGGGCGGCGGATTGGGGAGGGGGCTGCGGTCCGGGTCCGCGTGGCCGGCCGCGTCTGGGTTGGGGTGGCTGTTGGCGCCGCCGCGGTCTGGACGAGTGTCGGGGCCGCCGTGTGGTTTCCCGGGTGTGTGGCGCGGCGGACGGGGGCCGGCTGCGGGGCCGGGTCCTCGTTCGGCTCAGTCCTTGCTGCCCTTGTCTTCTCCTCCCCGCGGAGCCGCTGTGTGTATCACCCTTGGCCGCCTCCGTGTGTGCCTGTGTGGGTAGGGGGATCCCTGGGGACGTGGGGGGTCACTGTCACACCTGCCCGGGCGGTGGCGGCAGCGCGGTCCCTAGCTCCCCACCCTGGGGGCGACTAGGGAGCAAATGGCGAGACCCCAGGGGAGACGACCGGGAGGGCCTGGTGGCCGCGACCCCCAACCTTCCGCGGGAGGGGCTGTCGCTCGCCGCTCCGCTCTTTGTTGTTTGGGGCTCTGCGCCTCCCCCTCTCTCCCTCCTCGCGCCCGGAGTGTCAGACTGGGGGTGGGGATGAGCCAACGACGCCCCCCTCTCGCTTCCCATGGAAACCTCGGGGGTGGGGATGCGCCCCTCCCCCCCGGAGCGGGACTCCAGGATCTCGGGGGGCGCCGAGGGCTGACTTCTCGGCTCCATCTAGCTCGCCCCCTCCCCCAGACTCCCACGTCCGACCCCCGCTCGGGCCGAGTCTGGCCGGGAGTGGAGAGCTCGCAGGTGAGGGGCCCGGGTTCCCCGCACCCTTGGGCACCCCACGTTCTTAGGGGAAGCCGGAGGGAGAGGCGCGGGATGGCCTGGGGGTTGAGCCGACTGTCCTCCCCCGCGCACACCTGGGCGCAGGTGAAAGCTCCGAAAGGGGGTGGGGTGCCGGTTCCGAGAGCCTCCTTTCTGCCTGCTCCACTCCCGTGCGGGCCTGGACCGGCCAGGTAGGAGGGGGCACGCACCCGGCCGAGAGGCTGCCGCCGCCCCCGCCTCGCTTCCCGGGCCTTTGTTGCCGCTGCGCCCGGGCTCCCCGGCTCCCTCACTGCGGCAGCCGCGGCCCCATAAATCGTGAGAGCGACGTGCTCCGGAGCCGGGAGTGGAGAGGGCCGGGGAGCTGGGGGCGGGGCCGGGCCGAGCCACAGGCTCCCGCGCCCCCTCCCCCCAGTCACGTGAGCTGGCTCCTGGCTCCCACCTCCCGTCACGTGCGGAGGGTCTCTGCCCCTTGGGGTCACGTGGGGAGGGTCTCACGACCCCGCCTCCTGAGGGTCACGTGAGAGAGTGCTGGTGGGACACGTGCAGTGGCCTCCTTTGACAGACCTAGGGGCAGTACCCTCTGCACAGCAGCCACGACCTAGCCCTCTGGCCCCCATTCAGCCCCTCTGCCTAGGCTCCCGGAATAGGAAAGACCTGTTCCCTGCGCGCCCCAGAAACTAGGGATGGAAGGACTGTGTTGGAGGGAAGCATGAGAAACGTGAAGTTGAGGGGCCCCTGAGCCCAGAATTGATTTGGGGGTGGGGGTGAGGCTGATAGCCAAATATATTGCCCCTGCCTTGTGCTTCATTTCTTTGCAGATCTAAGGAGGTGTTAATACTCTGTCTCAAGAAGCCTAGGAACATCATTCTCCAGCTGTCCCCTTACCTGTCTATCTGAAATGTTTCTGTTGCAGATCTCTTTCATTCACACATTCATTCAACAAATATTTATTGAGGCTCTACTATTTCCCTGATGGTCTTCTCTGTGTTCTCTGGCTCCGACTTCCTGCCCTGCATCCTCCTGCGTCCCTGATTCTCCCCTCTGCGTTTCTCTGTCTTCATCTCTACTATCTGTGGGCCTCTCTGATGGCCTCTGGGTCTCTCCCGTTTTCCAAGCCTCGGGTCCCAGTCTCCTCTTCCCTCTCTCGGTTTCTGGTTCTCTCTCCCGCCGCTTCGCCCTCTCCCTTCCCGGGGAATCCGTCTCTGTTCCTCTCCCGTGTGTCTGTGTCTCACTCCATCTCTGTGCCTCGCTTTCGGCGGGTCTCTCGCTCTTCTCCGCCGCTGCAGATCAATAAACCTTCGCCGCCGCCGCCGCCGCTGTCGCAGGGACGAGGGGCGGGGGTGTCGGGCGCGCAGATTCTCCTTCACCCGACGCGGCCCGGGGGAGCCCCAGGCCCAGGACCTGGCTCACCAGACCCGGACCCGTGGGGTGTGCAGGCCCCGGTGCCTGGGGGGCGCGGGGGTGTCATCGTGCGCGCGCCGCCCCTTGATCCTTCCCGCCGCCGCCTCCACCGGCCCCATCGCCACCCCCACGCCACCCCCGAGCCCCACGCGCGGACCCCACGCCGCGCACACGTGGTCTGGCCTCGCCTGCTGGAGCGGGCGGCGCGCAGCCTCGGGGGCGCGCGCTGGAGGGAAGAAGCAGGTCTCTCCACATCTCTCCTTCACTCCCTTAACTCTGCACCCGGGCGTCGGAGGCCGGGGACAGGGATCTAGCAAGTTTGGAGCCCCCTGGGATCCTTCCCACACTCCCTGGTCTTGTGAGACACCCTGTTTACCAGCCCCTAATTGCCCCGGGGGGAGAAGCTTGCTCCTTCCCCGCTCCCCGCGCCGCCCAGCCAGCCCCCTCCGCGGGCACTCAGGGCCAGCGGGGGTCAGGCGGGGTGCTGAAGGAATAAGGGGTCGAGACGTGCCTCGAGGGTGGTGCGAACCGGGACAAACTGAAATAACGGGGCGAGGGGGCACCCGGTCTAGGTACGTGTGGACACGCTCCTTTCTGGGGGAGAGAGAGAGGATGCAACATGAGGATGAAGGGGAGGGGTAGAAAACTGCCCGAAGGTGCTGGACGCAGCACTGCCCCCAGATCCCAGCCCACCTACCACCGGGCTGTGGGGCCTTGGAGGCGGAGTTACTGCGGAGCTGTGCTGGACTTAGGGGCACCTCCCTCTTCACTGCCAGGGCGAAGGAGGATGACAGATTCAATTAAAGCGCCCAAGCCAAACAGACAAGTCTCCTCGGAGTTGCCGTAGGGATTCCTGGCCAGACCTTGTGCTGTCCCTCCACACCACCCCCCTCCACCAGATACCAAATGGGCACCGCCGTCCCATCGGCAGATCTTTCTCCCACGTGCCCAGCTTTGGAGAACATTTCATGGTTTTTCCTGCCACCTAGCACAGGGATAAGTAAGAAGTAGCTTCTCTTTCCTTGTGGTCACCCAGTGACCTTTTGTAAGACTGGTCCCACCCGCTTGAGGAAACCCAGGTACCTGTAGGAATATCTCTGGAGCTGGCTTTGCTCCCTGCTGGAATGGGGTGTGTTATAGGAGGAACTAGGTGGTGCGGCAGGGAGGGGCTCCTTCAGAATGGGATTGGAAACACGGGCGAGGCTCAAGGACAGAGGCCCTAGTGTGGCTGTGCAACTGCCCCACGCCTGGCATCTTGCCACTGGTGGCCCCCTCCCCAAAGCCTGAGGGGAGGAACAGGAGACTGTGTGGGGTTGGGATGGACAGGCAAGCCTAGGGAGGCGGCTAAGAGCCAGGCCTGGTCTAACCCGTTTTCCTGCTCCCAGTGCCCCAGGCTGAGACTCCTGCCCACCTGAGTGCCAGGGCCAGGGAGGGGCCTGAGTGACCCATCACTCCCATGGGAACCAAGTGGGACTGGTGGCATTCCTGATGACTCAAGGAGGCTGTGCCCATGCTTACTGGGGTGCCCAAACACGGGCTCTCACCTATCCACCTCACTGCCAAGTTTGGAAGGGCTTGCTTGGGGAGGGGGTAGTATAGGCAAAGCCAAGGAAGTGGGGTAAGGTGGGAAAGGACCCTCAAGGCCCCATCTCATGCCCAGACCTCCAAGTTCATTTCCCTAATTGATCTAATTACTGCTTATGGAACTGGGTGGTACCAAGTGACACAGACAGCCAGTCCCTCCCCTCGGGGAATTCCCAGGGAGTGGGGATCCCAGAGGTTTGACATTTTGCCTGATATCTCCTGTCTTTCTGTGTCCACCATACTCCCTTCTCACTGACAATATGTGTGCATTCTTACCCTAAGAAAACTAGAGAAAAGCCCTGCCCACTCCTCCATGTCCCTCTGCCCACTTAGAGGTTTCTCCCATCAGTACCACAATCAAGGGTGTTCAGACCATCATTTGGATGGTAACTAGCAAGGCAGGTAGGGATTACTAGGGATCCAGCATCTGCTTCTCTGTTCCAGAGAGGGATCCAGAACGTGAGAGATACAGCCGTGGTATCTGGGCACTGTGCCCACTACTTGGCTGAACATGATTATTGGGGCAGTAGCATCCAGGATAGAGGAAGAAGGGTGGGTTGTAATGAGACAGAAGTTTTGACTGTTGACATGATGCCACGAGGCCTTGGTGCCGAACCCCTCGGCTCCCTGATCTGTTGTGTCAGGTTATTGGGGACCTAATTGCCCGTGGCCTTGGGGTGGAGGTAAGTGAGGATCAAGGTACAGAGGCCAGTGATAGTGTCTTGGGGTCAACTAGTACTGGCATGCGGCTCAGCACACATGCAGCTTAGCTTTTTAGCCAGAGTATGCCGCCTTTGAGTAGGCGGTGGACATATTTGTGCCTGTGCCATGGAACTTGTGCGTGTATATGCATGAAGCCGCCATACGTGTGTATGTGAGGGCAAGTCCTGTCGGACTGGCCTTGGGGCTGGACTGGCAGCAGCAGCAGGGAAGCATGCTGGGAGATGCGATGGCGGGTGTGTTTCCCACGGAAGGGATGCCTCCCACTTTCACCCTTCGCTTCCATCCTTCTGTCCTTCCTCCCAGCGGGTAAATAAGGGGGGATGGACGGAGGAAACCGGGCCTGGGTCTGGGAGTCGCTGGGGCCTGCGCGGTTTCTGTGGCAACCCAGGCGCACGCTCCTCCTCCCCCGCCCCTCTCCCTGCCCCTCTTCTTTGGGAGCAGGCCGGGCTTCCCTGCGCCTCTGCTACCCTCTGGTGGCCATCAGGAGAAAGACCGGCCACGAAGGCGAGGGCCCGGGAGAGTGAAAGACTGGCGGCTTTAGGGCCCTGGGGACAGAGACAGGGCTAAGAGAGGGCGCTTGGAGGAAGAGTCGGGGGACTCCAGGGACCCCCGGGGAGGGTCTGGGGAGCGGTGTGTGGCAGGCGGGCTGGCTCCGGGGTTTCTCTCCTCTGACCCGCTTCCTTTCCCCATAGCTTGCGGCGAGAAGGCTACACGGTGCAGGTGAACGTGAACGACTACCTGGACATTTACTGCCCCCACTACAACAGCTCAGGGGTGGGCCCCGGAGCGGGCCCCGGGCCGGGCGGCGGGGAGCAGTACGTGCTCTACATGGTGAGCCGCAGCGGCTACCGCACCTGCAACGCCAGCCAGGGCTTCAAGCGCTGGGAGTGCAACCGGCCGCACGCCCCCCATAGCCCCATCAAGTTCTCGGAGAAGTTCCAGCGCTACAGCGCCTTCTCGCTGGGCTACGAGTTCCACGCCGGCCACGAGTACTACTACATCTGTAAGTGACAGCCGGGGGGTGGGGGTCCAGAGTTAGCCGGAGTTGGCAGCCAGGGATGGAGTCCCAAGGGGCCCGAGTGGCTGAGAGGGAGGCCCGGGGTGAGCTGGGGGACTGGGGGCTTCAGCTCAGTCACTGCTGTGAGGCTAAGAGAGAGCTTTGGTGACAGTCCCAAGTTTGGGCCTCAGAATCGCTGTTCCTATGAGGGACTCCTGGGTCGGGACTTCAGGGGTCCGTTGGGACCCAAAAGGCATCGGAAGCTCACAGCAGAGCCTTAGTTACCAATGTCCAAAGGGTAGGGGAGCTCCTGAAGGACAGTGGCCCAGGAAGGGCAGTGTGGAGGGCATGGGGCATGGGCCACGGATTGGAAGAAGGCCACTCAGAACTGGTCTCCTCCCCAGCCACGCCCACCCACAACCTGCACTGGAAGTGTCTGAGGATGAAGGTGTTCGTCTGCTGCGCCTCCAGTGAGTATCATCGACTCCCAGCCTCACCCCTATCCTTGGCTCCCCTGCTTTGGGGCTCCCCTGGCTTCCTGTGGGTGGGGGCGGAGGGCACAGGCGAGGGGGGCTTGCTCCCCAGCTGTAGCAGCGGGAGGGGGTCCTGGCCCTGACTCTCCCCTCGTCTCTCCCCGCCCGCACCCCACCCCGCAGCATCGCACTCCGGGGAGAAGCCGGTCCCCACTCTCCCCCAGTTCACCATGGGCCCCAATGTGAGGATCAACGTGCTGGGTGAGTCTGCGCAGCGCCCTCTGGTGGCCACTGCTGACATCGCAGCCCCCTCCCCTGTGCCTGCTCTCCTTGCATGCTTTCCCCTGGGACACTTGTCCTTCCTGCCCCCGTGGGTGGTCACGTCCCTGGCTCCACTGCTGCTGCCGCTGCCGCGTGCCCCAGCCCTGGCGCGCAGCCCAGCCCTCACCAGTCTGTCTGTTCATCTATCCACAGAAGACTTTGAGGGAGAGAACCCCCAGGTGCCCAAGCTTGAGAAGAGCATCAGCGGGACCAGCCCCAAGAGGGAACACCTGCCCCTGGCCGTGGGCATCGCCTTCTTCCTCATGACACTCTTGGCCTCCTAGCTCTGTCCCATGCCTTGGTGGGGAGAGATGGGGCGGGGCTGTGAACAAGCGACAAGTCTTTGGCCTCTTAACGGGAAGCCTAGCTGTGGGCCTGCACCCCCCCTCCCATGGCTGGAAGTGGGGTCCGCACCATGCATTGTGCCCACTCCCTCTGCCCCTCCCTCCAGGTAGGGCACTGTAGTGGACCAGGCACAGGGACAGTCAAAGGTCCCAGGTGACCTGGTGGCTCTGTAATGTTTGGTACCAAATTTGGGGCCATAAAGGGCAGTTCTCAGGACGTCCTGCCCCCTGGTACCTCTCCCTGACCCCTGGCTCCCTCCCCTTTTGTCCCCCCAGAGAGACAAAAATGCCCCAGAGAGAGCAAGCCAACGTGAAAGGTGCCCCATCACTCTCCTCCAGGGACAGAACGTGGGGAGGGGACTAAATGGGCAAGGGGGTAGCACTGCCCGCTGCCCCTTCCCCTGTTTACAGCAATAAGCACGTCCCCCTCCCCCCACTCCCACTTGCAGGATTGTGGTTTGGATCAAATCCAAGTTTACAAGTAGACCCCCCTAGGGAGGCAGGCAGTGGACGGGTGGCAGGGGTGGGCACTGGGGTGCCAGGCAGGCATGTACAGACTCTATATCTCTATACATAATGTACAGACAGAGTCCTTCCCCCTCCCTAACCCCGGCCTCCCTTGACCCCCCTTCCAGCTTCAGACCCCTTTCCCACCAGGCTAGGCCCCGCCGGGGACCCCCTGGCCCCTCTTTTGTCTTCTGTGAAGACGGGACCTATGCAACGCACAGACACTTTTGGAGACCGTGAGACAGCGACGCCCCTCCCTTCCAGCCCTGAGCCAGCCGGGAGCCAGATCCCAGGACCTTGCCCTGCCCACCCCACGTGGTCCCCACCCATCCTGGGCCTTTTTCAAGTGCTTTGGCTGTGACTTTCATACTCTGCTCTTAGTCTAAAAAAATAAACTGGAGAGAAAAATAACCGAGTGTGTGTGATTTGAAGGGACCGGCGCCCTCCGTTCCCCTGGTTCTGCTCCACAGGGCACAAGGCCTGGGCTGGGGGGGAGATTCTGAGCCACAGAGTCCCCTGAACTGTGCTGTGGCTTATCTCCTCTGAGAGGCAGCTCTGTGGGGAGAGAGCAAGAGAGGCTTTAAGTTGGGCCTGGTTGACTTTGAGCAAATACCTTAACCTCTCTGGGCCTCAGGTATCCATCCCATCAAACAAACTGGGCCATACCATACCTGTCAGGGTTGGTGTAAGGATTAAATAACAGGGGGATTAAAGGCTCTATCAGTGATTATCTTCTTTTCTTCCCATGGTGATGTGATCAGAGGTTCTTGCCTGGGGTCTTTGGATTCCAGGGATTTGTGAACCTAGCTAGAAAAAAAAAATGTTTATTTTCACTTACCTGTACCTAAAATTTAACATTCTCTTATGTATGTGGGCAGCAAACCACAGTATAGTAATTAATGACCTGTGACTTTGTAACGGGCAGAAATCACAGATGTTTTCAGACTGCACTGTAGTTGTGGACGATATCTCACAAGATCATTTACTCTCATCACTACTTTGAAATGGTCATAGTTGTTAGACCTTTCTTGTCTTCAATGTGTTAATAAAGAAGCATATATATTACTATATCAAAAATGTAAATGTTTTGATAACTGTGTTTCAATATAATTGGTTTCTTTTATACTCCTTGTAATTTTTTGATTTTTATTTTTTAGTTGTTGATTTTTTTTTTATAATATATGTGGTGCTGAGAACCGAACCCAGTGCCTCATCCATGCTAGGCAAGTGTGCTACCGCTGAGCCCCAGCCCCAGTCCCTTTGGAATTTTATTCATGTAAAAACATGCCCATTTCTGGGGCTGGGGCTGCACATAACTCCAGCACCTGCAGCCCTCAGGAGAGCAGAGGGGACAGAAGGCTAGAGACGGGAGAAGGTGTAAAGCTGACCGAGGAGCCCAAGCTTGCCCGGTGCAGTGGGACACGCACATAATCCTAGCAGCTAAGGAAGCTGAGGCAGGAGGATCTCGAATTCAAAGCTTAGCAACTCAGTGAGACCCCGTCTCTAAATAAAATACAAAATAGGGCTGGGGATGTGGCTCGGTGGTCACTGCCCCTGAGTTCAATCCCTGGTATGCCCCCCAAAAATCAATAAAAATAAAAAGGGCTTGGGATTCTCCAGTGGGGCCCCAGCTCTGTGGCTCAGTGGTTGCTGGGGTCAATCCCCAGTTCCGAAAAACAAACAAAACATAAAAACAAGGAGCCCGAGGTGGGTGACGTCAGGATTATATAGGAAACACTGCACAAGGGGACGAGGGTAAGGGTCAAAATGTACCTAGGGCTTCACTTTTTAAGTGCCCTGACCCAGAGAGGGAGGCATTTCTTACTGCCACAGGACCCCATCCCACCCAGGTTCTCTACTGGTACTGTGGGCAGACTGGACCCTGGGTAAGTGCCCTTCCTATGGACCCTGAGGCTGTATTGTTGTGAGAGTGGGCTTGGTGGCAGGATCTGTGTTCCCTTCCTCTCAGTGTCCATAAAGCACAGGAAATGGAATCTCAGCTGAACTGTGAATAATGTCCGGGTCTCTTAATGGCAGAACTGTGGACTAGCCTGAGCCTCCTTACAAGAAGATAAGACTGAAAAGGTGGACTTCTTCATTCAACTGGCTGTGTATCCAATCAACATTCATTGAGTGCCTGCCAAATGCCAGGCTCTATCTTGGGGACTAGAGACACAAAGAAGACACAGCCTCTGCCTTCAAGATATGGCTCAGTGCTAGAGCACTCACCTGGCATGCATGAGGCCCTGGTTCCATTCCAGTACCACGAAAACAGCAAAAAGTGGGTTTAACTGAGAGTGGTGGTAATCCTAGCAGCTTGGGAGGCTGAGGCAGGAGGATCCGAAGTGTCAGGCCAGCCTCAAAAAAAAGAAGGCTGGGGATGTGGCTCAGTGGTTAAGTACCCCTGGATTCAATCCCTGGTACCAAAAAAAAAAAACAAAAAAGAAGTGGGTTTGAGCTGGGCAGGGTGGTACATACCCATAATCCTAGTGACTCAGCATTTTAGCAAGACCCTGTCTCAAAAAGTAAAATAAGCCAGGCACAGTGGCGCATGCCCATAATCCCAGCAGCCCAGGAGGCTGAGGCAGGAGGATCGAAAGTTCAAAGTCAGCCTCAGCAACTTAGTGAAGCCCTAAACAACTTAACCTGTCTCTAAATAAAATTTAAAAATAAATAAATAAAAGAAAGAAAGAAAAAGATCTGGGGATGTAGCTCGGTGGTTTAGAGCCCCTGAGTTCAATCTCCAGTGCAAAAAAAAAAAAAAAGAATCTCAGATCTGGACTGCGTAAGCCAATCCGACCCCCTCCTTTTACAAATGTGAGAAGGGAGGCTCAGAGACAGCGAGTCGCGTGCTAGGCCAGAACTCATGTCCATCTTTCTTTCCCCGGAAGGGGACATTCACATGTCCCTGGGAATTGAAAGCTGGTATTATTTGAAACTTCTTACACCCCCACAGTTGTGTCAAGGAGGAAGTGCCACCCTCTCAAGGATCCCTTTCCTCAAAAATAACCCCCCTAAAAAAGAAAAAGGATCCTTTTCCATCCCCCTGAAGCTCAGGGTCCTGCAGGGGACCTTGCCCTCAGGCGGGGTTTCAGTTTCAGAGCAGGGGGCCCAGGGAGAGGGCTCAGCACCTAGGTGGACAGACACCAATGACCCTGAGCCTGCCGAGGTCTGGGGGTGGTGAGAGAGCACAGTGGGAGAGCTTGGGGGAGGGCAGGGGGGAGGGAAGGGAGGTCCACAGAGCAGACTCAACACCTGTGCACAGGTGGAACCAAAGGAAACAGAGAAGTTCAGGTGTGGGACTGAGCAAGACACCTGGGGTGGGGGCAGATGGCAGCAGGGCTCTAGCTGGTGACAGGAAGCCAGCCTGAGCGACCTCCTTCCGACTGCCCGACCCCAGCACCTGGGGTTCTCTTAGAATCTGCTGCTGGCTGTCGGATGGTGCCCCAGGGCCTGGACATTCTGCTCACCTCGCTGTCCCCACCCCAAAGCACAGGGCCCTGAGGCGGGGGAGGTGGTCGCCAGTGCGCTGGGCCACCTCGGTCCAGGAGAGCGGGATCCAGAGGGGCAGCTCCCCACCCGAGCAGGGGCTTCTTCCTCCTCTGGTCTCATCTTGCTGCCTGGGCAAGGGCATCAAGAGGGTTCACATCAACACAGGTGACTCTCCCCTTCCCGTTCTCCCCAGAGTAAAATAAATAAATCAACAAAAATTAAAAGGAAAACAACAACAAGAAGCAACTGACCCCGGCTCTGGACTCAGGGAGGGAGATTCTGAGTAGCCAGGTGTCAGACCGCCTGGAATCCGGGCTGTGGTCTCAGCCCACGGGGACTGTAAGTCAGGCCCCCCATGCACCTGGACAGGGGACCAGTAGAGGAGCTTGAAGCCTTTGGGGTGTAAACGTGAGGGTAGGGCTGAGCACTGGAGGGAGCAGGGGCTGCTCTATGGGACCCCTCATGCCCAGGCCTGAGCCTCCCTTGGTTCTAGACGCTCTGGGGCTGGCAGTAGGCTTGGGCCTGCCTACACCTGCCCAGCCCAGAGCTACTCCGACTTCAGGTCTGATCCATTCTCCCTCCTGTCCTTGTTCTGTCCAGCAGGCAAACCAGGGGTCCTGGGCTGCTCTGGGGGCTCATGGGTTGGGACAGGGGTCTCCACTGGATTTGACTAGGAAGGGACCATGGATTGGAGTGGAGACACAAACTGGGACCCGGAGACAAGAGACAAGGATGGGGTAGGAGGACATGAATGGGGATGAGGGACATGAGCTGGATACAAGACAGGGGGGAGGTAGTGGGGACACAGGCTGGGTAGCTCCAGCTCCCGGATGCCAGACCAGAGAAGTGTGACATGGACATGAGGGACAGTCCAGATGTTTGGGGGCTGGGTCAGAGTGTGAGACTTTGGGCCTGGGCAGGGGGAGAAAGCTCTGGCCAAATCTGGGGATGCTGGCCCTAGACCTGGCCCTGGGAAGTGTGGCCTCTGCCGGTCTCCTCTGGCTGGGCCGGGTGGGGGTAGACATGGCCCCTTCCCTGGAGGGTCAGCACTAAACTCTTGGCCTGCACCACAGCGTCTGGCCCCAGGTAATTATAGGGCTGTTGCCAAGCTTGGCTATAAAAGGGTGGACGGACTGGCCCAGGAACCCGGGAGAGCTGGACCCAACGGGTCAGGAGTCCCCCGGCCTGCAAAGGACGCTCAGATCTCACACACACACACACACACACACACACACACACGACTGCACACACTTCAGTTCATGCCCACTCATACAATCTCCAAACCTGCGACCCCACACAGTCAATCAAACTCACTGCTCCAGGAGGAAGGGGCAGGGGGCACAAGCCTGAAGGGGCCCCAGAGAGGGGAGCGGGGCTTTGTTTACACAGCTGAGGGGGAAGGGGCCTCACACGGGGCCAGGAGGACCAGTCCAGGAGGGCTCAGGCACACAGGCCACCTCCGCCCGACTGTGCAGACGGAGCCGACACTCAAGGGCACACACTCATCCACACCTCCACAACCACCCAGGTGCGTGTGTTCAAGCCGATTCCAAGTCCTCGTCCCTGCACCAGGCACAGGTGCTGATGTCACAATGCCAAACGCGCTCATGCAAACGCCAGCTCTCATACAAGGGAAGGACTCACGGGCACCCAGAGCCACACTTGGATCCAGGGTCACACAGGGTAACACCCTTGAGGGCTGGCATCCAACAAATGACACAGTTCTCTAACATGGACTGGCTGACAGTCCCAACTAAACAAACAGCATTTCATGCCAGGGGCAGCAGCCAAACCAACTGGGCAAAGTTGAGAGTCCGGGAAAGTACAGGGAGGAGGGGCAGAGGGGGGAGGGCAGTGCCACGTTCACACCCGGGGGAATCTGTGGTCCCATCTACAGCCACAGAGACACAAGACAACCCAAGGACCCCAGGATGTCTGAGGACACACTCACACACCCAGGGAGAGCCGGGGCTTCCCACTCACATCCATGTGTGCGCAGAGGCCAGGTGCACACCTAGTGTTACGCTCAGATGCCCACCGGAGCTCCTTCTAGGGAGCCTCCCAGCCTGCCTCCCCGAGGGAGGAAGGAGAGACAATGCAGGGTGGGGGTGCTGGCGGGGGAGAGTCAGAGCTGCCTGTGGTCAGAGGGACCCCTCTTCCCACACCAGACTGCTTATACAGCAGACCTGGGCCTTAGGGGAGGCACCCAAGGAGACCAACAGAGGCTGTCCCATGCCCCAGGAGTAGGATCATGCCCATGTCTGCCCACCTGGGCACCAGAACTGCCCACACTGGTCACAGCCTCCCACGAGGCCTGGCCTCTGTGCCATTAAGCTGTGTACCTGTCACTTGGCTGCCCCTCGGGGCCTGGCAGGACCTGATCTGACATGGGAAAAGGGGGAGTCTTTCCTAGAAAGACCCCCACAACAGACCTTGAGAACATTCCTCACTCCTTGAGGGTAAACCACCCACAGGCAGGTGCTAAACCCCGGCACGCAACCCAGAATACGGTGGCCATTTGACTGGGCCTGTAGGCAGGGTTGTCTGGGA